AAAGAAATAAATAAATAAATAAAAAGGTAGAACAATTGTTAAAGGGTGAGGCAACGCTATTGCTGCCTTTGATATGGGCGTGTTTGGTTCGCAGCTTTCGGGAGGAAGCTAAGTTTGTGGGCTCAAGTATTAAGACGTGTGCTAAGAAAATAAATGTTTGAACTCATAGATTATAGGTGGAAATGTTTAAATTCACCCTTAAACTTAGATAGTCAGGATGAATTTATTCTAAATAAAAAAATAAAAATAAATTTACTCACAAAATTTTAAATTTAAATAAATCATTATAAATTTAATGTGTGACATTATCTGATATTAATAATTAATTAATAATGAATTTATTAATGATGTAATAAATTAATAAATTATTAATGTCACACATTAAATTTAGATTAATTTATTCGAATAAAAAAAATTTATGAGTGAATTTATCTTTATTTTTTGTTCAGAGTTTGATTTATTCCTATTGCCTAACTTTGGAAGTAAATTTATATATTCTACCTAGATTATGATGCTCAAAAATTACATCCTATTAGAAATTATGAGAAGAAAAACAACTTAATTTTGTAATTGATTATATTATAATATAACCAACTACTTGAGTTTTGAAGCATTTTTAATCACCTTTCAAGTCATTATAATATTATAAGGGCTTTTGATTTTCAATGTTAGGATTTTGAAAATTACAAGTCAAGTTGACAGACATGGCTCACCGACTTTCTTGGTCTAAGCTTTTGAGCTTTCGGAGAAACCAGACATGCCCTTTAGGTCAAAGGCCACAAATCCCAACTTACGGCATCAACCACAGAGCTACAAGTTCCATATCCGGTTGCTGAAAATCCAAACTTCTAATCCACAACATTAGGGTGACAATCCATGTAGTGGTTATGTCATTTCAATAATATAACAAATTAATCATAATTTGATATACCATTAAAAATAAATTTATATGTATATTGATTTTTATTCTCGTGAAAAAAAAAAAAACTCATTTTGTTATTATGATTTTGATTCTTCTAATAATTAAAATTCATGACAAATCTCATAATATACAAATCATATCAAATAAATGGTTGTCTCTCCTTTCTAATGTCTAACTTGAATAAAAAGAGCCCAAAAAAAAAGACTACTTAATAAAAATTAGGTCATACCACATGCTGTTAAATTTTTTTTTTATTTTAGTTGCACAATAAAAAATAATCATTTTTCATCTCTTATCTCATTCCACCTGCATACCATGCGAATTGAATTCAAAACCTTTTACTTCCAACAAAAAAAGATGATCGTTAAACTATTTAAGTCGTTGATACTATTAAATTTTTTTAATCACCATTTACTGAAATTTTATTTTCAATAAATATTTTTAATAAATTATTTCTCTTATTATTAATTTGCTCGCATGTTAAAATGGATCCGCTGCTGAACGATTGTAGGGTGGACTTTTTCCAACTTAAGGCAGGTTGGTAGGGTTGGGCACAAGGCAAGTTGGCAACATGCAAGAATAATATTTTATTCTATGAATAATTTTCTAAAACCGACAATAAAGTTTACGCGGTAATGGGTAATTGACTCCAATAAAAACACATTGACTTAGATATGTCATAGTCAAAGACAAAGAAAAAGGAAACAACCTGGTAAATGCCCAAGTCTTTCATGCAAAGCCAAATCTCTCTCTGCTTTTTTTATTATTAAGGGGTTGTTGAGATTAATTATTTACCTGAAATTTATTTAATTAAAATTAATAATTGATGATTATATGTAAACTCTTAAAATAAACGCTGCTTAAATGATATTTTACTATCCTCATTTAAAAATGAAATCTTAAAAATACTTTGTAAATGTAATTTTTATTAATAGAATTAAGAAAATCAGAACTAATTAAAATATTAAAATTAATAATAAAAAATTACAATATTTTAAATAAATTAACACATTAAAAATTTATTAAAAATTTATATAATTTCATAAAAAATTTTAATATTTAAAATAGCTTATTATTTGATTTTTATACTTTTTTTTATTTTTTATTTTTTATTTTTTTCTTT